TAAGGGCATTTTGCAGTTTTTCACTGAATTTGCATAACATAGTGGCAGAGTTCCAGTGGGGTGGAAATTGGCCACTGTACACACTGAATTTTCCTGCTTCTGTTCTGTGGGACTACAAATGCATTCTAACAGAGTTGTGGCATGGGACTAAGGCATACAGTATAGCAAAACTCAGTTTATAATTTATCAGAAATATTTTAATAATTTTTAAATTACTGCTGCTCTGATGATACTGCATTGTGAAAAATTTGTTACTGTGATATGAGTAGAAAATCTTTTTTTCCCCCCTTAATTGCTTGTTCTCTCTAATCTGCGGCTAATCTTTCCCAGCTAAATAAATGGGTAATTCCCCTTCCTCCGACTTGTCAGGAGAGGCGCAGGTACCGCCAAAGTGATCAAAGCAAACATACAGACCTGCAGCATGTAGCTGACCAATTATAAAGCGACTTGGCCCTATGGGATGTGAATAAATGACAGCAGGGGCTTTCCCCTTGCTGAAAATGCAATGCAAGGTGTGTGCAAAGCATCACTCTGTAGCCCTTTCTTCATGTTTTACCTGTTAAGAGAAGATATATTTGGAGTCATGAATGAGAACAGTCAAAGAGCCTACAGCTGAAGAGCCTTCTTTGAAATGTACTCTTGTGCAACAATAATCTTTCTAATAGATCCAGATATGTCAGTGAGACAGCTCTAGGGTAGGAATGGAGAATTTTTTCAATTAAGAGGAATCTGAAGATTGTATTAAGGACTGGGCTTTAATAGAGAAAACCCAATTTACCCAACGAGAAACAGGTGGAGATAGGCCATGGTGGTACCCAACCTCAGCAACTGATACAACAGCACCTAGAGAGGCACAGAGAATCTGTCACCATACTTGGAGTGACAGGGCTAGAGCAAAACATGTGTGGGGCTTCTGCATTTCCCTCTCTCTCTTTTTTCCTTAATTTTTTTTCTATTTCTGACTCCCTCTTCTCTCTCAAGATTGTACCCAACCAGCAGGCTGTTGGGCAAGAGGCAGATTGCTCCCATCAGACATTTGAAATGGGTACTTGCAGAAAGTTTTTGAAATTAGACCATCCCTGCTCCAGAATATAGAATTTAAGGATTGGACTTTTGAGTAGAGATTTGATTTTTCTGAATCGAGAAAAATCCCTAAATTCCCCAGAAGAAGCCAGAATGATTCCAGGCTGAGGTTTCAAAATGCAGTTTTCTGCTGGACACCTTTCAGAAAGTTTCAGCTAGTGGTTATCTTGGATAGAAGAGGGTGGGAGCTGCAATCCAAAAAGATGCCGTTTTGTAAGGTCTGATTCCAGAACTGATGAAGTAGATCTCAGCCTCTCGACACTCGAAGAACCCCCAGTTTCAGGGCTTTCTTTCTGTCCCTGTGGCAGCTTGTCAACAGATCCCAGCACAGTGGGGCCTCTTCGGCAAAGCTCCCCCACTAGTAACACTGTCCTCTCTGAAAACAGTGAGGTGTCAGTGTGCCATTCTAACCCATTTCAGTCATCAGCATGGGTGGGAGGGAACTGTGCTCTTTACTCTTCTGGCTATAAATTCTTTCATAGTGTTTCTCATTGCGAGCTGGCTGGATAAATTACAGGTGCATTATAAATAATCACAGTCCAGTTCCCTTCTCCAGTTAATATTGGAAACGGTTATAAGGAGTTAGTTTTATCTTCTGCAGAAGATGCAATAAAATCTATCCCCGGGTGCTGGTTTTTCTTTTAGAAAAGCATAACTTGCTTTCTAAAATATGACATGTCAGATGATCTTCACTATAAAGAAAAGTGCATTTACAAGTTCTTGATGTGACTGCTTCTGCCCAGAATCTTTCTTTGTATGAGCATTTTGGGTCAGGCTGTGAATTTTTTTTCCCCTTCTCTTTCCCACTAAAATCATTGAAATATATTCCGTCGGTTTCACATCAGAGGTGTAAATGGATTTCTTGAAAGTTTTTCCTTAGAATGGTAAAAGGCAATCACTTTACAACTTTGACTCCATTACGGGCTGCATCATAAAGCTCACCACACCACCCTAACTTTGAGAATGCACTGCTGCTCAGTGACCTTGCTTCTGCAAGGGCATATCCTCAGTGTGGGCATAGAAGTGTTTGACTGCCATCTTTGCGTCTTCATAGATGCTGCCTGTTGACAGCACTTCCACAAAGAGCGCAGTAGAGGGAAGAGCAGGCCAGTTTAAGGTTTTAGACTGGATTTCGTTCCTGTGATAGCATCGATACTACACGGTCATTGTTTGCATATGATATATTTATTTGTTTTGAAATCCAGATATTTTACTCCAAAATGATAGAACAAAAGAACAAGGCGAGAAGTTCGGAATGACAGCTATTTTCATGCTGGGGTTACTTGACTCCGAAAAAAATAACCAAGCCTGTGTAACTTCTTAAATTTTAAGCTGTTGCTTTGTGAATTATACATGGATAAAGACACTAGGCAAAATTATAGAGTAAAGCCCTTGTTTTTACTTTCAGAATATAATGAATATATGCAAATTTTTTTTGACAAAATGCAAACATCAAATTGGTCTCCTGAAAATGTTTTCCCTAGTTTTTCCACGTGCTTTCCCTCTTATCACCATATATCTGTATGTTCCTCTGCATCCTCAACCCACAAATTGTGGGATAAATCTAACATTATGCTTACTCAGAGTGAACATTACATTACAATTAAATGCCTTTGAGTTCAGTGGATTTATTCTTGATTGGATTAGTGTGGGGGTAGCCAAATGTCCCTGACCCCCCCCCCCATAAAGATCCAGGTTTTTTTCAGAGGTAGATAATGTGCAGCTCAATGAAATGTTCATCTCAGGGCAGATTCTATTTTCTCAATCAAAATGAAGAACAAGATGCTTATCAAGCTAGACAGAACTGTCCTGGCTATTCCATCCCTCACTCTGAAAATCTGCAGGAGTTATTCACAATCTGGGTGGTTGTCCCAGATTCCTAGGTCATCAGCACAGACTTCTCACATGCCAGCCACCTGGTAATCCAGGTGATCCAGGAAGAGATGACTTTTTAATTAATAGATACGAACCTTAGTTTAGAGTCAACTTGCTCTAGGAATTTGCTACATTGTTTTGCTGGTCTTCAGGGAAGCTTTGAAAACCCATTTTTGTTGACATTGTCTGCACTCTTAGGTTGCTGTTCTTTTTAAAATCATTATTTCTGTTGTATAATCGGACCCCTGCATCCACAGGATTGGTATCCATGGTTTTGATTATCTGTGGTTTACCTCAGCCCAATACAACATACAAAGAAGTGGCCTTGTGGCCTTTGTCCTGCTTCCTTATATGCCGTACATAGGAAAAGGATGGTATTCTAGCAATACTAGGATAGTATTCCTACTATCCATGGTTTCAGACATTTGTGGAACGAAACCCCACAAATATGAGGGTCCTACTGTATTTTATATTTTTAATTGTTTTACATTGATTCTTTTTATCTTTAACACCACTCTGAAGGGGTTCCAGCATTAAAGATGACTAACTTGAAATCCAAATGAATGCATGATCCAGGTTAAATGGATAGCATACATCTGGAGTGGTGTGAAGAATTCAGGATTTTGTTCTTTTATTTTCATAACCTGTGGTGACTCCATAGTGGCTAACAGTATCTGTAGTGTGTGTACAATTCTTGCTTCACCTTTCCCCACAATGAACCTGTGAGCTGGAGGTCATGCATATTTCCTTTTTATTAGTGTGGACTTAAACAGAAAATGCCATGCCACATTAAGAGAGAGAAAATATGGTTCAGCTGAGATTAAAACCTAGATCAAATATAAGGGGCTGTTTTCTTTCTTTTAAAGTAAGAACCTTTTAAGAGAGTGAAAAGATTAGCCTTTGTATAATTTAGAAACTCGTGCCTAACAACTGTAAGGAAAGAAAATAACCTTAATTTTGAATGTAAAAGCTACATGTAGTCAGTCAATTAATATGCACTAGTAGCAGACTGTTTTTATTAATTTATTATTAAGTATTGAAGTGTAAAGGCATGGGTGAAGTGAGAATTTCCATTTTCTGTTGTGAAGACAATGCTTGTCATGTTATGTCCCACTCCTAAAACCTTGTCTCAGGCTTTGTCTTCATGGAACTTAAAACTCTTGTCTGATGCCCAATGATCAGCCTTAAACCTCTTTGCTGTCACTGAAGAAAACAAATCTTTTGCCTTCCTTTGCCTGGGGGATATGGAGAGCTGAAGTGGTCCTGTGTGACTAAATTAGATGAAAGACTTGCCTTCCCACCACAGAGACATGGAGTCTAATCAAGTGAAATGAGTTCTGAGATCTCAACTCACTTCCTAGGGGATATCAGTTTACATTACAAAATCACACGACACCTAATTCATCACGGTTGATGCCAACTTTACTCAGGAGAGGGCCATAGCTCAGACAATATGATAGTAAGCCACCTGTCCCCTCTATGGAAGGGACTGTTTATTAAGATAGTAAGAAGGCATTGGTGGGAAGGCTCTGCAAGGAACTGGGACTGCATATTTTATGGAGTATATATAAAGGGAAAGGGAGATATCTAAATCAGAAGTGGAACAATGGATCTAGAGTAGATCATTTGTACTCTTATTTACAGTTAACATTCATCACTTTTAAACCTGTATTTGAGACTGAACTTTCCTTATTCACAAAGGTTTTAAACAAATTAAAGCATGACCTATATTACAGTTTATAAGATCTCCTTTTAGGCAAAAGTGCCTAAAAGGGAGGATTTGTTAGTCTCCAGGCTATATAGTCCATGAAAACTCATGCTATCATAAATTTGCTGGTCCTTAAGCATTACAGAGCTGTTGTCTGCGCAAACACGTCACAATTATAGTCTGATGCTATAGCAGAAATGAAATTATACAGGTTTTGTAGGCAGATGCCCAAATGTGTTGCAATAAGATGTCTAATGTTTTCATACATAAAGATTTGGAATGACAATGAAAAACTCCTGTTTTCCAAACTGATGAATTTCTTGATCTGTATCAGGGCATCATTATAACTCCTTTGCTGCTGCTGCTTTTTGTGAGTACTGTATCTTAATATTTAAGTTGTAATCTCGCTGATGTGGTACACTGAAAACTAATTAATTTCATAGTATATGGGAAGAAGAAGCATTCTTAATATCCTAGATTATTTTAAACTTCAAGTATTGTGTGAATTATGGAAATTTTTCTGACCGAAGTGAGAATTCTGATGTTCCTGCAGGTTAGGATAAAAAGTGGACAGTTTGTACTGCACGATATTTTCCAATTCTACATGCAGATTTCTTTCTTCTTCCCAGTAATTACGTATATTATTACCAGTAGGTTGGGCAAACTTACTGGTAACAAGAGCACTCGTTTCTGTTTTGCTGCATTAATGTTCACCCAAAGTGTTTAATCTTCCCAATGCATTACATTGGCTGGAACAAAACACTGTTAATTTGTTGAGACATTTATGGCTATCTGTTCTTTTAAAACAAATAAACACACACATACACACTGTGCACCCTGGCTAGTGGCCAGGTACAGTGTATGTGTGTGTTATTTATGACTCTTCAGGGGACAGTGCCACAGACCGCCTATATTGTATATCATGTTTGTTGTAGATTCTGGAATAAAATATAACTGGAGGACCAAATGCATGGGGATTATTTGACTAAAGCTTTTGTGGCTGGGTTTGTAAGAACTTCTTGAACTAGCTATAAGTAAAGATATTGCACAGAGACACCTGCTTATATAGAAATATGTTTACTCTGCCTTCTGCATAAAATATGTATAGGCTATTGTGCCAACCAACGTTCCCTCTAAGTTTCTGTCCCACTGCGTGAGGGTCTCACTCCGTGTGCACAGGATGGGAAATAAACAAACCGGCTGCCGGCTGCCTGTGCACAACTTCGACTGAGCTTTGGGCAAGCGTGCACGCAGCTTAGAGGGAACATTCGTGCCAACACAGATATTAGTAACAACATGGACTGTATGTTTTGGGAAGACACACCTTATATTATATAGGCAGTGTCAGCTTCATATTTTGAGGGAAAGATCTCCTGAGTGGGAGAATAGAGGAAGAAGTAGGTTTTTCCTTCAAAGCAAGTTCAATCCAGTAACACCAGGGATTTTTTGTTTTATGTATTTGTGAAGGCTTTCACGGCCAGGATCTAATGGTTGTTGTGGGTTTTCCGGGCTCTTTGGCCGTGTTCTGAAGCTTGTTCTTCCCAACATTTCGCCAGTCTCTGTGGCCGGCATGCTTTTACCTCATATACTCCCTTCGCTTTTGCTCCTGCTGTCAAACAAATTAAACGTAAATACATTATTTTGTGTATGATTATGCCCATGTCCTTAGAGGGACGTGGTGGCGTTGCGGGTTAAACCGCAGAAGGCTGTGCTGCAGGGGCAGAAGACCAGCAGTCATAAGATCGAATCCATGTGACGGAGTGAGCACCCGTCGCTTGTCCCAGCTCCCGCCAACCTAGCGGATCGAAAGCATGCAAATGCAAGTAGATCAATAGGGACCACCTTGGTGGGAAGGTAACAGCATTCCGTGTCTAAGTCGCACTGGCCATGTGACCACTGAAGATTATCTTTGGACAAAACGCTGGCTCTATGGCTTGGAAATGGGGATGAGCACCTCCCCCTAGAGTCGAACACGACTGGACAAAAAATTGTCAAGGGGAACCTTAACCTTTACCTTTACCTATGCCCATGTCCATATAAATAGCAATGACAATCTTTAAATAGTTTGTGTGTTGTGAAGAAGATCTAGAATCTATTACAGTTTGCGTTCTTGGAATAAGTGAAAGAAAATCTTGCTCTTAGCCCTCAGTATTTCCCTGTCTTTCTGCCACCAGTGATGTTTCATGAGTGGTAATGTAGCGCAACATGAAGTTGCAAGTTTGAGCAGCTTATATCATGTTTAGTAGTTCCATGTGTCTATTAGTAAACTGACTGACGCGTATAGAATGACTGGCAGAGGTTCTGTATTTGTTTAGGGATGAAAATTGGTTAGGCATAGTATGTGTGTGTTAAGGAAGACACATATAGAGGATATGAATTTGAAGAAGACCATTATGAATTGGCAGTTCAGAGATACTATATGTGAGAGAAATGTATGATAACGTGTTTTGTACATAGATCATAGCTGAATAGTAATAGTAAGAGTCGTCTTAGAACTGTAGAGCTGGAAGGGACCCAAGGGATCATCAAGTCCACCCTTTGTCAAGGAGGCAGAGTGGCCATCAATTTTCGCAAAACGACCCCCGCCGATCAGCTGTTCGGCGGCCAAAATGGCCGCCGGAAGCCGGGAAATGGCCTAAAATGGCCGCGCGCAGCGTTTTCGCGCCCTCGTTAAGCGAGGCGAGGGCACGAAAATGGCTGCCGGCCATCCTGAAGCTTCGCTGAACGGTGAGTATTTGGCCTATTTGGAACGCATTAAACGATGTTTAATGCATTCCAATGGAAATCGCTGCCCCGTTCAGCGATGCTTCAGCATAGCGAAGGTTAATCCGGAACGGATTAACCTCGCTATGCGAGGCACCACTGTATAGAGGATGTGAATTTGAAGAAGACCATTATGAATTGGCAGTTCAGAGAGACTATATGTGAGAGAAATGTATGATAACATGTTTTGTACATAGATCATAGCTGAATAGTAATAGTAAGAGTCATCTTAGAACTGCAGAGCTGGAAGGGACCCAAGGGATCATCAAGTCCACCCTTTGTCAAGGAGGCAGAGTGGCCATCAATTGAACTGTGAATTTGAAGAAGACCATTATGAATTGGCAGTTCAGAGAGACTATATGTGAGAGAAATGTATGATAACATGTTTTGTACATAGATCATAGCTGAATAGTAATAGTAAGAGTCATCTTAGAACTGCAGAGCTGGAAGGGACCCAAGGGATCATCAAGTCCACCCTTTGTCAAGGAGGCAGAGTGGCCATCAATTGAACTCCCAACTTCTGGCTCCACTGCTAGAGATCTAAGCCACTGAGCTATACAGAATACTGCAGCCAGTTATTATGTAACACAGTTGTGTAAGGGCAGTTATGAGAGTGACAGAAAACTCCTAACAGAATACCGCAGCCACTTATTATGTAACACAATTGTGTAAGGGCAGTTATGAGAGTGACAGAAGGCACAGTGCTGGTTGTTAGTTGCACGTCTGCTTGGCCTTAGGTTGTACAATTGATAACACGAGTGGGTATATGCCTGATGGCCAAAATGCAAAAACTTCTCGCATAATTGCTCTTAAACATGTGACAGTTCACAGTAGGATTTTGAACCAAGAAGTTTCGTGCTGGAGGGTGATGATGAGTCAAATGAAAAAGCCATAGAATTATAATTAGTAAAATAATAATTGCTTCTTTTTGTAGTCATATAGTATGTCCTGTTGGGTTACTAGAATAAGAATTAATAAGAATAATAATGAAAAGCAAAGAGTATCTTGACAAACTTCTTATGCTTGGTAATATTGAATTTTGGATCTTAGGAGCAGCACAACCCAGAGAATGTGAGGGTATTTGTGTTTGCCAAGGACACTGAATTGTAATCTGGCAGCCACTGGAGAAGAGCAACAAGACAACTAGCCACTAATATAGAGTAGAACTGTAATTCCTCCCTGTGTCCAATGGCATCATGTGCCTTGTTTTTCAAACCTCAGTCTTTTCCTTTTTACTGCATCTGTCTGTTTTTCTTTGCTCTTTCAAAACCTGAAATAAGATTTTAAGAGATTTTAAATAAAAAATAAAAATCCCCAACCAGATGCCGATGGATGTGTTGATAGGGGTTCACGGATTCATGTTTTTGTACTACATCTCCCCTGCTTTACGAGGTGGCTATGTTGCCTAAAACACAAATCTGTATGTCACATTGGACTCTTATCACCTCTACTAAGCATGTAGTCTGCTTATGCGTCTGGCTCAGAGCTTGAAAGGATGCATAATACATATAGTGGTGTTGTTTATATTTATTGTTTGGAGGGTGTGAGTGTACATGTACATTTTCCTCCCCCATGTCATTTATTTTTAATAATAAAAACAATTATTTATTACTGTCATTTAAATCTTGCTTCCTGACCCAAACCAGGCCCAGAAGCTATCTCTTTTGTTTCTGCTTCCTGTTCTGTACTGTTCTCTCAAATCTCCAAAGCCACAACAATAATGAGTATATTAATCTAAATGTATAATTTAAGAAGACAAGAATTTTCCTCAAGATAGTTTTACATTTATTGATCAGAGTTTACATTTTGCCCCATTTGCACAGAATTAATTCGTGACAGCAGTTAATAATTTGAACTTTTTTATTTTCACATGCTTGTTAATGTAAAATGAGTAATACTAACTAAGTTGTTAAAGAACTGTTGAAGTACACAAAGGGAAGAGTGAATGCTTATAATAAATTATACATTTTTCATGAATAATGCATAACCTTAAATGAATGATATTACATGTAAGACAGTTTTATTTTTGAAAAGACCACTGTGACAGAACGTAATATTAGATTGATTCCTTTTAAGAAACATATTCAAGATTTCTTGTACTTTTATGGTAGAGCTGTTGAGACTGCAGGTAACTGTAACTTTATTTAACTGGCAGTACAGTATTTTTCAACCAGTGTGGTTATTTAAACATCTCCTCTAGCACACTTGTACTGGATTACACCATTGTGCAAGTAGCTACACAAGCAGTTGCATAAGTGGTTGTGCAACTGACTGCCCAACTATGCAGAATAAAAACAATATCAGATATGTGGTGCTAACTCTGAAAGTGCACAAATGCCAATGCAACAGGGCTTGTGCTAAGACAGTGGCATCAGTGGATACAAAACTATTTGTTATTTTTTCTGAATAGGCATCCTCTGGCAAAATGTTTTTGAACGTCAATTCCCACTGGCATTACAGCCTGGACATTTTTTTTCATATATGTGGGGCGGAAAAAACAAATATCCTCCCTACCCCAATTTCACTACCCTCTTAATGAATTTGGAGGTAATTTCTTTGAGTTTGTATTGATATGGCACATATGAGGTCATATTCAAACAAGGGATC